AAGACACGTCTCGTGATCAGTGTCTCATTACAGGTGGTCACTTCGACCTGGCGACAATCTCTAGTTAGTATTTTCCAAAGACGCACTGCACACTCATCTCCGAGATCGGTCCTTGCCCTTTGCGAGGGAAACGGGTAACGCAGCTGCAGTAGCGTGTCACTTTCTGTGACTCGTGCCTTTCGCTGAAAAAATGAACCGGACTGAGGCTGTAGGGTAGTTGTGCCCTAGTGTGGTCTCAATACTCCACTCTCGCTAATCCTGCGACGATATCAAGGTCCCGCAGCGAAACACGCTCTGAGTGGTAAAACAACCAGAATTGAGGGGGCGCTGACAGTAGGGGTTTGTGTATGGTTAGGAGTGCAGCCAGATCAGGCTAGTATGGATGCAGCACTCGGGTATCACTACCTTCCAGCCCCATTCCCGTGCACTTCTGATCAACGAAAGTGGCACGATACAGCAGCTGTGTACCTATTCGCCTCACTCGTGTCACGGACCAGGGCCCGCGGAGGTTAGTGAACAGTTTGTCTTCGTGTTTGACCGCAATCAGTGCTCGATGAAGAGAACTTATCTATTGATTATTTGCCTAATTTCAAGTATTTAGGGGAACATGTGCGTGCACTACGAGGTGATGAGCTGCACGAATCCAAAGAAGTATCTGAACTTCATAACGGTCGAAGAACTAAAAGATGTGAGCTCACAATCGTTTGGGACGTAAAGTTGTGGCTTGATAGGGCCCTTATAAGGGCACCTTCCTCGGGGAAACCGCTATGCAGCGCCTGCCCAGGGTCGCGGAATTCTATCCTGCCAGGAGTATTGATCCTAGTCGTCTTGGGGATTTATCGTGCCAACTGCCTTTAACTTTGCAGCTTCCACATGATCCTCTTGTATGATCAGAAAACTCCTCATGAAATATCCATGGGACGCATTGTCTCCCCAGAGTACGGTAGTCTCCTTTCAACTCGGGAACCTCTTCACCTAACATTCTTGGTGAGGGGCTTCATGTGGGATAAACCTAACAACAAGAAGAATAATTGGGATTAACTCAGGCACCCTTTGACGTGATCTCATCGGGTTTCGACCGATTAGGAAGTGGACTATCTGCAAGGTACCGTCGACTGCGTTATCTGTGCTCTAAAGCTGATAGGGACAAAGGAACCAGATACTTCATCGAAAAACTCATTTAAAAATTTTATTTGAAGTCTATTGTAGCGAATTTGATTGCACGAGTGATCAAAAAAGTGCCAGCTCTGAAAGAGGAGCGTTTTTTCCTTACCCATACTTATCAGTCGCTTCTTATAGCAGGAATTACTCGTCGGTGCAATGGTTTACCTGCCTCCTCCCAACTATGCCTCTCTCTTTGTCCTTCTTCAAAAAGCCTGAACCATGAGATTCTTTCGATCCGCAACTTTTTAGTACGCCGATGTATGTGGAGTGTATAAGAATGGCACTTTCACGCTGATTACTGCTTGCTTCTGCAACAAAGATGACTGTAACGGAAGTAAAGAGGTCATCAAGGTTGGTCTGGTCAAATATAAGTTTCAGAACAAGTTTTAAGAAAAAATCCTACTATAAATAATCGGCTACGTCCATGTGTGTATATCTATCTGTAATGTATGTATGTATGTATGTATGTATGTATGTATGTATGTATTGTATGATGATGTATGTATGTATGATGGTATGTTATCTGTCATTTGAGCAAATTCATAGCGGATTGGTCCAGTACGCAGCGAAGACAATCGTTTCCGAGAATGTGATGTAGGGGCGTGGGCGAGAAAAACTATTGGTGGTGACTAGGAAGTGATGTAGGCGTGATAGATTCGATAAGATGCGTCAGAAGGCGGATGGCCACCATACTCATGGCGCTGATGGGGCCTGACAACCGTGGTGCACCTCTGACGTTCTAATCAAGTGTCCTCGAACCGAGAAACTGGGAACAAAGGCTCCTATGCGCTGCTGTTTCGGAATGTATGATTGACGCTGACCTCGAGGCCCAACCCACACATGATTTCTCCTCTGGTTTTTGACTGAATGTTAGACGTTTTTTACAGGGATTAGTTTACAATATGAAACGTGGGGACGGTAATACACCTTCTGTCGACAAATGGGAAATTGTGAACAGTCGCGATGAAAAGAAGACGGCCTTTAAGTGTTATGAATGGAATTTGGATAATACTGGACCAAATCCTTATGCGCCACCGCCACCGGAAGAAGTCGGAGAGCCAATAGATCTCAGGTACACAGTTTCCGATAGAAAACATTTTGCCATCAACCATCATCTGCGTTAAATGCACACTGCATATCGCTCGGCACGAACAAAAGTTAAGGGCGGAGAACGAGAAAGTAAAGAAACAACTGCTGGAAAGATGGAGCTGGTCTTTGATGTGATGTTTTGTTAGCCATAACCGTAATTCTATGGGTATCTTTTTGCGAAAGTGTACCTTTGCCTTGTATTGTGCGAAATATGCACCGATAGTGTGGACATACCGTACAAACCGAGATTTGCACCACGCGCTTTTCCTCCTAGATCTCCACTGAAGCCTGAGGCAATGTTCAGAATTTGAGATGACGCGCATCGACGCGCTAACATTACAACCGCGCCCCAGTGCTATAGACGGGAACATAGCCAAGGATGCGTTTTGATGGGATGTTGTG